ACGCAAGTCGCGCGAACACCGAACTACTTTCCTTTAATGGATAAACTCTTACCGCTAAAGCTAATTATCCAGCAGCCAGAAAATGCTGGGTAAGGAGAAGGCTTTACATTCTGATCTTGTGTTATGGATTTACGAGTTGAGGTTTCGCCTAATCATTACCTACGGTTCCCTGGTTTAGTGGAGAGCCGCAAATACATATATACATTAGGACGGGTCAATTTGTAAGGGAGATTTTTCGACTAAGCGCGTATAGCACAGAATGATTCTATATGTAATTCTAAGCAAATTTTCTAAAGAAACCATGGGTCTGAAATCAATTTGGAGTTTGGCAAATTGCGAAAATAGGTAACGGGTGATTTTTTAAGAGCTTGATACCTTTTTTTTTAAAAAAAACGCATAAAATTTGCAAAATCTCATCGGTTCTTTATTTGAAACGTTAGATTGGTCCATGACATTTACTTTTTGAAGATAATTTCATTTAAATGTTGACCGCGGCTGCGTCTCAGGTGGTCCATTCGGAAAGTCCAATTTTGGGCAACTTTTTCGAGCATTTCGGCCGGAATAGCCCGAATTTCTTCGGAAATGTTGTCTTCCAAAGCTGGAATAGTTGCTGGCTTATTTCTGTAGACTTTAGACTTGACGTAGCCCCACAAAAAATAGTCTAAAGGCGTCAAATCGCATGATCTTGGTGGCCAACTTACCGGTCCATTTCTTGAGATGAATTGTTCTCCGAAGTTTTCCCTCAAAATGGCCATAGAATCGCGAGCTGTGTGGCATGTAGCGCCATCTTGTTGAAACCACATGTCAACCAAGTTCAGTTCTTCCATTTTTGGCAACAAAAAGTTTGTTAGCATCGAACGATAGCGATCGCCATTCACCGTAACGTTGCGTCCAACAGCATCTTTGAAAAAATACGGTCCAATGATTCCACCAGCGTACAAACCACACCAAACAGTGCATTTTTCGGGATGCATGGGCAGTTCTTGAACGGCTTCTGGTTGCTCTTCACTCCAAATGCGGCAATTTTGCTTATTTACGAAGCCATTCAACCAGAAATGAGCCTCATCGCTGAACAAAATTTGTCGATAAAAAAGCGGATTTTCTGCCAACTTTTC